GATTGTGTGTGCAATGAAGAGGAGAAGAAATTAAAATAATTTTCTGAGAAACTAAAAGAATAAGGAAGAAAGATAGAGGCAGAGAATGAAAGAGAGAGAAAGAGAGAGAAAGAGAGAGAAGGAAAATGGAAGAATATTTGACAAAAGAGAGATAAAATTGAGTCCATCGACTGCTATACACATTTATTTTAAATATTGTTATAGTTACTGACATTTATTTCAGTTTAGTATGGCACAAGATCAACGAGGACAAGAAGAAGATTGTGTTGCGTCAGTCTTTCAGGAAAGGCTATTTTATTTGTTTGTCTTACAATCGGCATTCGGAATCCTAGTTTTGACCCGAACTCGAACACCGATCATTTTGATGCCAATATGGGAATAAAAAAAAACAAACTTTTTCTGACACCAGGTGAACAAACTATTTTTTTTATCCACATTTACCCGGAGTCAATATTTTTCAACCCCTAAGGGCGTCGCACTGCGCTGGCGTTTTGCGCAACGTCAGGGTTTTGCATTTTTTCATGGACCTTCATTCGCAAGTTGAAATATGACAGAAAGAAAAATAGAGAATGAATGAAAAATTGAAAAATGAATTCTCTTTTTTTATACTAGAGTTCAGCCAATACCAGGCTCGAGAGCCACTTGAGGTAGAGTGGGTTACCATTAACATGATTATATTGCGCTGTGTGATATAAATGAAAGAGGAGGCGATATGAAGTGACGATTATGATGATAATGGAGGACAGATGATGATTGACCGTTGAGTTGAAGAAGTCAAAGTTGTAGGGAAGCATCCAGGCGGGAGCGTGTTCTGTACAGTAGCAGTTCTTTGGAAAATGCTGTCCGAGTGGAAATTTCTCTTTATTTATATTTGCAATACGGAACTTCCAGGAAAGTGGCGGGGCGTGTATCAACCGTAACTGCTGGAAATAAAGAATGAAACTCATCTAAGCAGTTTTTAATGAAAATTTACCCCAAGGAAGGAAGTAAAGCCACTAAGACACAAAGTGTTGCTGGGTGTGAAAGAATTAGAAAAGGAAAACATTACTAAAGCGCGTGTAAGCGAAGAGTAATCAGAAGGACAGTAGATAACGATTGACATTGCATTTACATTTTTGAGATCAAACTGGAAAGCATAGAGTCAATTAAAGAGTTCCACAAGCGAGAAATGCGAGAAAAGAAATCGTTAGCATAGAACTTACGACTATATTTAACCAATTCAACTGTAAAAATAGTGACACCTTGCGGCCTATTCTAGTACTGCGCTTCCATTCATGACGTCTAGTTAAGACTGATTATCAAGACATGAGTAAATGGTTGCGTCATAGGCATAGATACAAAATTGAGAGCTGATGTAATCAGGAAAGATCATTGATGAAAATTAAGAACAAAGTAAAGCCAAGGATAGAGCCCTGAGAAAGACCTGCATTAGTACAGAAGGATATAGAAGAGTGGCCGTTCAAGACCACTTTCATTTCGCGATTTCATAAGAAAGATTGAATCAGTTCAAAATTCGTCCAGAAATGCCATAACCTTTCAACTCGTGAATAAGACCAGAATACCAAACCCAATCGAATAGAAAACTTACTTTTAATACACTATTACAGGGCCTTCAGCTATGACGAGAGCCAAAGTTGTTAGATGCAATACAGTGCCTCATTCTATCAGCAAACAAAGACTTAGCTCCTTCGAGGACACATTTACATTCATTAGGTCTATTTTACTCGGAACTGTTCCATGAAAATAGCGATAGTCTTATGTCATTGTGTCTGTGGGACGAGAGGCCGCAGAGTGGAAGGTAAGTCTCTCCCCTCACAAAACTGCGTCAACGCTTTTGAAGCCTATCAAGACTAGAAAGTGAAGATTGAGCAGTCCCAGTAACACATATGGCAGCAATCCTCAGTTTTCGATTTAATCTGATTTGTAAAGATAAAGCATAAGCAGGAGGAGTCAAGTATTTGCTAGAGCGATCGAAGAAGCCGCAACATTTTTTCTCCAGCATCTTTAATATTGGATCATATAATATATGATTTCCACTCAGGAGTGAACTTGAGGTACTTTTATTTTTTATTTCATGGTTACAACGTTACAATGGTTAGTAAGTAATGTTTGCTAACCGTCGATCTGTTGGTAGTTGCCTGATCAGGAAATATAATATCAACTATTTTATTCCACTTTTTGATTTGATTCATTTTGAATAAACCAATTGTTGAGATAACAAAGGCTTGACAGCACAACATCAATTCCCGCGTAGATTATCAAAAGCTAAATAAAAAAAACTAAAAAAAACTGGCTATGTCTGTCCCAACATTCGCCGTAAACATTTTTGCCGTAGGAAAACTCGCCTCGTGAATTTTTGCCGTAAAAAACTTCGCCGTATAGGATTTTTACCGTAAGACGATTTCGTCGTATTTTTTTTTTTTGATACCCGTATCTTGAACATTCATTTTAGAGTAATGTTTAATTTAATATGCGAAGTATTTTGTTATCAAGTACATCTTTTTTGCAGGGTCAAACATCCGAAAAGAAATTAAAAAGTAAAGATTTATTTAAAAAATAAGACTAAAAATATATCAAATTAACAAAGAAATAATTTAAAATGTGTGCAAATTCCAAGCATTGCTTTGTAAATAATGTTTTTTTTTGCGTTGGACTGTAATAAAGCATTTTCCGCTGAAATCTTGCATTGATATCAAAATATATTTTTTTCATTTGTACTGCATCTGAAATATGAAATTGTATGCCTTAAGTTCTGGTGTCAAGTTGAAATTTTTGCGCTCCTCACTGATGAGGATAAATGATGTAGGATTTTGATAAAATGTTTAAATCGAAGTAACAATAGATTGAGCCAGATATACTTGATAACAAGGTACTTCGCATATTGAAAAAAACAATGCGTTGAAATTGTCTTACGGCAAAATCCTATACGGCAAATTATTCTACGGCGAAAATTCATGAGGCGATTTTCCTATGGCAAAAATATTTACGGCGAATGTTCCTAGAACCGGGACATAGCACCCAGATACTGCACTGGGCCTAGAGTGAAGTACTGATCTTTATGTAAATAATCTCTTAAGCTTACTACAATTCAGCAACTCTCAGTATTTTAAAAAGAATTTTTAATTTTGTGTATGTATAATCGTGCCGATTTTTGTAAATACGGATGTACATACACGACATTATCAGAGAATAAAAGCCGCAATTATAATAAATTTAAAATTTATTGGTAATTCTTTAATATCTTCGAAAGTAAGATAAATAAAGACAAAGAACCAAAAATTTTCCTAAATATTTAAGATTACTTGGTAGTTAAAAAAATTATATAAAAACGGCGTTGTATTCGTCAAGTAATTTTTACAGTTATGTACACTTTACTTGAATTTGCCAAACATTAAGCTATCGAATAATCTGTCAATATCTGATAAAAATACACACTTCCAATTTAGAAAAAATGCTTTTCTTCGATATTTTGAACTAAAAGTAAATAATATTTGTTTAATTCAGATTATTTAAACTTTAAATCAGTTAATCTTTCCTCAGAAAAGTAAATTTAATTTTTAAAAGACTTTTTCTTTATTATTAATTTCTCTATTAATTTTTCATTTTTATCTCAAGGTTTTCAGCTGTTATTGAAAGTGTAGGACTTCGGAATCGGATTTTCTAAAAACGTTGTAATGAAGAACAACAACAAAGGTGAAGATACTCGTCATAGCCAATAAAATATATGTGTAATAATGAAAGTACTTCATTTGAAATCAAAAATAGGTAAATCTCACAAATTGTTGATAGCTTGTTCGGTTTTTGTTGAATGTCTTGTAAGGATTGGTGAGAGAAAATGAAAATTTCATTCAAGAATTCTTACCTAGCATTATTGGAAAAAATAATTGTATACCAAAGAAATGAGAACATGTCGATTCTAATTGAATGTCCAATTTTTGTTACACACACACAGTGAAATGTGTTAGGCACTAGAATAAGATAGTTCATAACAAACATTTTAATAAAGACTTTCTCTTAAGACTGGGCTTTGCAGAGTCTGAAATCATAATACTAAATCAATCTGTAAAATCTGTGAAATTCTTTTAACTAAATGTAGTTTTCGTATTTCAGACATCTTTGATTCGTTCGTTTCCTCCCAATAAGGCCACAAAAATAGGATTTTATTTTGTTGTGCTTCAATGATCCTGTACGCGAAGGTGTCGGGTTACATGCACACTTCGTCTGCAACGTTTAGTTGCAGGTGGAACGCTCGCTGAACGAATCAGTTTAATTGGACAACAGCTTTGACAGTCACTTCTTCGATATTGAAATAGGGCTGCTTTGTACTACTACTACTACTACTACTACTACTACTACTAATAATAATAATAATAATAATAATAATAATAATTGCCTCCTTATTGATATGGCAGTCCCTGCAGACTGCAATGTATCTTTGAAAATCTTCAAAAATCTATCAAAATTCAAGGACCTTGAAATCGAATTGTTCTCACGAGTACAGCCCACACCTTATGAAGGACTGTATCTATGTAAAATATGTGTTTGTTTTAATTGCTCAGTGGAAAATGTCATGATGCCATTTCTGACCTTAGGTCTCTGGGCGGGATCCGGAAAGAAATGAGTACATACCAGAAATTAAAGGAAATAAAATAATAATAATAATAATAATAATACATTATTATTATTATCTATAATTCTGGTTGCTAATTCACGTAATGTAAATTGGGTGCAAAGTAACATCATTCTTGTTAAATAATAGTCGTCTATTCTCTTACGTTTCGTTTTTTCATTGTTTGCCAGTATCTTCTTATTATATCCCTAACCCCTTACAAGTTTTTAGCTAAATGCTATACAAACACGAATGAGCGAATAAACAATGCATGAATATCTTCTGCTACACCCTTTCTTTTATCTGTCTTTTGCTCTATTTGTCTATAAGTAATTGTAATTTTCACGCCCTAATTTTGTGTCTTTCCAGCTTTCGTCCATTGCATCAAAAGATGAAAGCAGCCAGCCTGTTAATTTATATTTTACTCTTTACTATCATCTTCCGAACTATTTCTTCCTCTCTCTCTCACTCTTCCCTTCTCTCCCCCCTATCTTTCCCTCTCTCACATCTCTCTCCCATCTCTCCCCTCTCTCCCCCCTACCTCTCTCCCCACTCTGTCTTCACTCTCTCTCTTCACTCTCATCCCTCTTTCCCTCTCTCTTACCGCTTCCCTTTCACCCTCTCTCTTCTCTCTCTCTCCTTTCTCCACGCTCTCTTTCCTTTCTCTCTTCTATTTCCCCTCTCGCCCATCTCTCTTCCCTCTCTCCCACTCATTCACCTCTCTCTTCCCTTTCTCTCTTTCCCCTCTCTCACCTCTCTTTCTTCCCCCTCTCTTTCACCTCTCTGTCCCCTCCCCTCCCCTCTCTCTCTTCCCCCTTTCTCTTCCCTTTATCTCTCTCCTCTCTCTTTCCCCTCCCTCTCTCTTCCCCATTCTCTTCCCCATCCCTCTCTCCTCTCTCTTCACTCTTTCTCGCCCCCTCTCTCTTACCTTAATCTCTCCCCTCTCTCTACCCCCCCTCTCTCCCCTCTCTTTCCCTCCTTCTCTTCCCCTCCCCTATATCTTCCCACTCTTTCTCGTCTCTCGCCTCTCTCTTCCATCTCTCTTTTCCCTATCTCTCTTTTCTCTCTATTCCCTCTCTCTCCTCTCTATATCTTCCTTCGCTCTCTCTCCCTTCTTTCTCCCTTATCGCTCTCCCTTCTCTCAATCCAAACTTCCTCCCTCTCTTTTCGCCCATCCCTCTCCTCTATCTCTTCACTCTCTTACCCTCCTCTCTCTCTCCACTCCTCTCTCTCCTCTCTCCATCTTTTCCCTTTCTCTCGCCCTCCCATCTCTCTCTCTCTTCCCTCTCTATCCCTGTAATCCGGACTACTGTTCGTCTATTTGGCATGTGAGAGAGAGAGAGGATGAAGAGAGAGAAAAGGAAAGAGTGTGGTAACAAGAGACTGAAGGGAAGAGAGAGAAGTGGTAAGGGAAACAGGAAGGTGGAAAAATAGAGAAAGAAAGAAAGAGGAATAAAGAGAGAGAGAGAGGCGGAAATAAAGATTTTTTCTGTCTCTTTACACACACACAGCAACACACACACACAGCAACACACACACACACACACACACACACACACACACACACACACGCACACACACAAACGTACACAGAGGGTCCTTCACTCCTGTTCCCTCCCCAGGATCAAGCCCCACCTCCTGTTTATGATCGTCGCTCTTATCTTTATACTCTTCCTTTCCCAACGTACTTTCAACGCAGAGGTAAGTTTAGTATTTGTAACAAAAACAACCACTTGTCGTATCAATTTCCCTCCCTGCTCCCTCCAATAATTACCCCCCTCCCCACTTCTGCAGTCCTTAAAAAACGACAAATAAAAAAAAACGAAAAACGAAAAGAGAATAAAAGGAAAATATATGATAGATCTCTCAGAAAATCAATATAAAGAAATTAATGTTATTTGGCATTATGGGAATTTCCCCCTAAATTAATGTTTCTACGACTTTTTGCCTCAAGTTGGTAAATGGCTTGTTTTAGAAAAAAGAAAATGTGCTCTTTTTTTTAAGTTTTATTTTAAGTACAGTGAAAATTAATGAGGAAAGAAGAAATAAACAATGGCTTTGTGGTCGTTTTTTTTTTTTTTTTTGCAAGCTTATTTTAATGGAGACTTGTCAGACATTGAAGTAGATTTTTCGATCAGATTGGTTGTCAAATTCTATTTACACACGCAAACACACATATACATACATTCATATCTATATATATATATATCCATATATATATATATATATATATATATATGAGGTGCTGCTCAAAAGTTTGAGAACCTAATGGCTTTCTCAAAGACAAGAAAAATTGATTCAAAAATAGAATCATTATTATAAGTTTAGTGCATTAATTATCTTTATATAAAATATCTGGTGAGACATGGAAAACGCTAGGCAAGTTCACAAAGGAATTCTTTCGAAAATCGTGCAATTATGTGTGTATGTATGCATCCAATATATATATATATATATATATATATATATATATATATATATATATATATATATATATATATATATATATAACACCGTTTACTCGCCACTAAACTCTCCCGAGGTTTCTCAAATACAGGCGATAATGGACGTTAGCTTGTCATGCTGGTGCATGGCGTATTTGTCTTCTAGACAGACTGCTCTACCAAGATTAGAGAGGGTCGAGTTTGCCATGCTATTTTTTTGTTATTGATTTATAATAATAAATACGTTCTTGTTGTTCGAAAATAAGAAAGATATTATCCCAATTTTCAATTTAAATCCACCAATAATAACTGGAACATTTTTTGTCAATGAATTTATGTTTATCATTAACCGCATTTTTTTTATTTGGCGAAAAAAAATCTATAAAAAGGCGAATTTAAAAGAGGATATCAAGTTAAGAATTTAGTGAAATTTTAATTTTTCATCATCATCACCACCACTTTCTATTGTAGAATCACTATCTAAATTATCATTAAACAAATTATCATTCACAATATTATCTTCGTCTTGTTCAATATTATCTTCGGCCTCTTTATTCTCTTGCCAAAGGATCTCATCTTCAGAGCCATCCATGGCTGTCGTGGAACAACACTTTTTAAAACCTCTCTTTTTAACATCCTTACTGATAGAATTCCAAGATTCCTGAATCCATTTTACAATAAGTTCCAACCCTGGTTTTTTCTTGTTGTTACCAGCAGTGAACTTCGGAATACCAAAAAACATCCAGTCATTCTATTTTTTACGCATCTCTTGTTTAAATGGACGGTTGCAGACGACATCTATTACTTGAAGTTGACCAGTTATTCCCGCCTGGTATAATAACAAGATCAGTCCTCTTCTCCTGAAGTATATTCTTCATGTAAGGCATCCTAGAGTAACAAAATGCATCAAGAATCAATATATGTTTACTTCTTGCAAATTCTGTTCTGTGTTTACACCAAACATTCAGCATCCAATCCTTTGTGAGATTCTCATCCATCCAAACTTGTTCATGACATTTTACTATCATACCGGCTGGGTACTCAACATTTTTTGGCAGAGTTTTCCGTTTAAAAATTATATAAGGGGGCATCTTTTTACCATCACCATATGTACCGAGCATGATTGTAAACCTATTCTTCTCATTTCCAGTTCTTTTTACTGGAACAGACTTCACCCCTTTGAATTCCAGAGTTTGAAAGCAAAGCACATCAAAAGTCAAGGGTATTTGGTCAGCATTTCTAATACAGCATACAGGATAGTTGTGCTTTTTTCTTAGCTGAATAAATCAAAACTCTTCATAAAAAGAAAACACCAGTTTGCTGAAGCTTTAAATGTGTTTCCAGGATACATGATTTTCATAAGTTCTTTTGTCTTCATCCTTATTTCCACAGTACTTATGGAACATCCATTTGATCGTCTTTCTTTCACAAATTCAACTAAACTTTGTTCCATATCTGGATATTGAGCTTTTCTTCCTTTACCTGTAGATTTGGCATTTGATTTACACTTTTTTTTAGTTCATTTTTATTCTTTCTCTATAAACGTATGTTAACCTCATTTAAATCATATTCTCAAGCTGCAGCTCTGTTTCCTATTCTTTCTGCTAATTCTATTACTTTTTGTTTAAAATTTGCTCTATAACTCGCACGTTTTGACGACATTTTGGCGATAATTTTCAACATTATTTTAGCCGCTTAGTTTCGATTTTATTCTTAATGTCAAAGTCGACAAAATGTCTTCGTAATTATCTTTCTTTTTTTTTTTTACAAAATTTATAGATGCGTAATATACATAGGGCTAGATATATTTCTTAATTTTTGGATTATTTGTTGGGGTGCCTATTATTTATGGGTGCGTATTATTACCGAGAAATTACGGTGTATATATATATATATATATATATATATATATATATATATATATATATATATATATAATAAAAATGTTTTTTCCTTTCTTCTCACAAAGATGAAACTCTTTACTTTGTGAATGTGCGCTGTCATCTGAACAAGGATGGCAGAGTTAGCTGGGCTAGATGGTATGATGAGAAACTATTATTGAGCCCATGATTAACAACTCTGCTTGAATTTTGGAGACAATCTTCATTTTGTGGGTTGACAAATGTGTAGCATTACCTACCGCCTATCTGTGCTCACATCCACTATTTGGACTCTATAAATGTTCCGGAAGCGTTGATGAGTGCCAATAGCTTAAAAATACAGGAATTCTATGACACACATCTGCTTGATATACGTATTTATGTCAGACACCATTTTGTCAGATTGTAGCTCACTTGCAATCAGTAGCAAGAAAAAATGTAATTGTAGGCTACTAGCAGGAAGTTTCAACATTTTGGCCAATAGGCCTCTTACAATACGGGTCAACATTTTAAAATAGCAGCGATTATTTCCCGTTCAATTGTCATATATATATATATATATATATATATATATATATATATATATATATATATAGAGAGAGAGAGAGAGAGAGAGAGAGAGAGAGAGAGAGATAGATAGATAGATAGATAGATAGGGAGAGAGACAGAGGTAGGACCAATTTTCCGTTTCAAATTTTCTTTAATTCCGTTTTAGGTTTTAGGGAATTCTGCATCCCCCATCCCCCGCCATTTTCAGTAGAGATTTCTGTCTCTGCTTCTTTATTTAGTGAGAAAGTGTAACAATAAATGTTATTAAAACAAGAAAATAAAAGGAAAATGAAAAAAATTACTGGCTAGAATATCCACCAATTAGATAAGTTGTTTCAGCTTGATAGGCTTTCGTACCTTATACCTCAGCCCTTTATCTAACTTAATGACTTTCTGGGACAACTCTTGCAAAGAATGTTACAAGAATTAAGTGAAAGCGACAAAACCTACAGAATAGTAGCACCAAAGATGACTAAAAGAATTAAATTAAAGTTATTTAATTCTTTTAGTCATCTTTGGTGCTACTATTCTGTAGGTTTTGTCGCTTTCACTTAATTCTTGTAACATTGACAGAATGGGAAATCTGCTCTTATTGGGATTCTAAAATACTGGAATGCTGAAGAGGTTTGTAGTTTATATAAATTTGAAATTCTTCAAAGAGTTCAGTGGAATGGATCTTGAAAATCTTTGGTGGCTGCAAAACTGTCAATGTCATAAATAAATAGCCTAGAAAGCTTCACCGATAAAATAATTATTTAAATTACTTATACTTACATGAATCAATCAATTTAAAACAATATTTTCTATTGTACGAATAATTTTGTCTTTTCCTATTTTGCATAATTCGCTTGTCAAATTTATTGTATTTAACCTATTGTTCTGAAAATTGAGTTTTATATTCCGTTTCTGTGCTTATTAATATATAAAAAAAAACTAGCATCATATGGGCCTTAGATTCTGAGAAATGGATGAAAATATTTAAAATTGATGGGTGTATAAATAATTTCATCGTTGACTTTATATATAACTGTCTATATTTCTGAGATGAGGTATATTAACTATTTACACCATTTACATTGTTCGGTCTGTTGTCCTCTTCATCTTTATTGTCATATTGGCGACGTTTCAGCCGTTGTACGTCCCGTCCTTCTTCAGCTGATATACATTGGAATTTCGAACCCAACCCTTTATTTAGTTCACGGGGTTAGATTGTTCCACGTGTCATGCCCTTTCTGAATATCTCAGTTTCAATTAACTCCCTTTAGTAACCCAACTCTCAAAGCTTTTTGCACAACTCTGCAGTGGCCAGCTACTGAACTCACAAATCTTCGGATCAAGTCACTTTTGGATTATTTCGACCAACGTTTTTATCCACTGGGCCATATCTCCTTGCTCCCAAGGACACATGATTCAGTATATCACCTGAA